TTGTAAACCAATTACTGTTGCTCTGCCTAAAACAATTCTTGCATATTGATATTAAAAGGGTTAATAAAAATTTCAGAACTCCTCTTAATACCAGCTACTTCAATGACGGCATTTACATTCTAATCCTGTTTCAGATTGTGCATGAAAATCTTAATATTCAGGGTTTAGACAGTCATCTAGATGGGATCTCAGATGATGAGGATCAAAAACCTAACACGTTTGCATTTGCGTTGCCTGGACACTGCAGCAGGCAGTCCAGTGGCAGCTCCTAGTAGGACAGATAGAAATTCTCCTTGTGCATTACATGGGCTGTAATAAACACAGATGAAAAAAATAGGCTGTATAGAAACTACATTGGTCAATAAATTGAGCAGAACAAATAGGACTCGCGCTTAGAATTGCAGAGAGCGATTATGCCTGGTTAGGCAGACATTGACTCTGCTGCAGCACAGCCATCAGCCACCTCCATAAAACTGGAGTGTCCCATTAGGAAGATCTTCTTTTGTGTTCTTCTCTTGTTCATACAATTTTTCTAAAATTAAGTTGGGGGTAGAGAAAAGCACTAAAAATTATATTCTTGCCACAAAAATATGGCATGTCCTGAAAAGCATGGGACGAAAAAGCAAGTCTGAAAAAATAGGGGGGAGTGGGGGGTGTGTGCAAATTCTGAATGAGGTGGGAAGACCTGTTACCTTTTGGATGGGTCTTGTGCAATGCAACTTCAGATCGCTGGCATTCTGTACTTGGACTTGCTATATGAGCAGTCTATGTTACATGGACAGTTTTCTGCATGGCTTTGAAGTTTCAAGTGCAAAATATATTTTGCGAGATAATTAATTTTTGTTTCCAGAATATCAACAGTGCTTTTAATGGTATTATGGATAAAAAGCACTAATTATTCCCTGTCCTCCTTCCCAGGCCATCGCCGCTTGGCTATATGAAATCTGTAAACTGGCCGAAGTGAGGCTAGCTGTCCAGTGGACTAAAAATTGACTGTATGAGACTGCAGTATGATCTTATTTCCCAGGACTAATGGTCCATAGGTGCGCAGGACTACTCGCTAGCCACCTCTCTAATTTAGTGTCAGTGACTTGATAAGATTGGCTATTTGATAAAGCTGCCTTTTACCTTTTAACCCTCTTCCCTTCCCAAAAGGCTCCTGCTGGAACTGCCATATCCCTGCTCTCCCTATTCTTACTGCAGCGGCTAGCAGTGGAGACGTCAGTACACACGCTGTGCAGGACCCGAGTTGGCTCTGGCTGGAGGGGATGGTTGGGTACAGGTGCTGTTCACCCGTGGCACATTAGTGGATCTGGAGATAAGAACAGCAGAACATGTGCTCAATCATGCTAACACAAGGAGAAAATAGTTCCCAGTGAGGGAGTTGCATCTAGTGACAAATTTCAGTTGAGAGTGGGGCTTTCTTTTTGCACAGTGCCTTGTTCTTGGAAAGTGGGATGCAGAGATTGAAAAAATGAAAAAGATTGTTCCGCCTCTTTGTATTACGTTGAGGATGCAAGGAGACACAGGTTAGAAAACACCTGCCGTTCGTTTGTCCTGTCTTTAGCAAAACATTCTCTTGTTGCTTTAGTCTTCTTAAAAGGAATCAATAGTTTTTTCTTAGCTGGTATTACTGGAATATTAATGTCACTTTTACTGTAGAGTGAGTACTCTTCTACCTTCACATTAGTGTGATTAAAAATGTAAAGTTCGCTGAAGCGTGGGAAGACTCTGTGTCAGGACTGGAAAGCCGCTCCTTGTCTCATTTCTTCAGCTGCAGCTGCTGGCTCCCTGCCTTTCCTTTTCCTCTCCTCTTCCAAAGGGTGATTCTCACCGTTTCCTCTTTGCAGATTTTTTCCCTTGATACAGTGTCTTCATTGCAATGCTAAACTAACTTGTGAATGCCTCTTGGGGAGGAAATAGGTGATGTGAATGCTTTTTATTTATTTTGTTAAAGGTCTCTGGGGAACACAATGTGTGGAGAACGTTCTGTATATGCTGGAAACTGGAGGAGAAAGGAAGGAAAGGGTTTTGCAGGAGAAAAATTGGCCAAAATCTTCCTTTCATTTATGATTAATAGGTTTTTCTTTTGGGCTCTGAATGCTGTGTTTGTATTCAAATTAAGTGGTTTCCAGGGGGGGCTTCCAGGAATAGATGTGGGGAGGGGATAAAAACGCTTTCCAGAAAGGACGTTGGAAGTGCCCGGTACTGAATTGCATGCTGTTTGTGAATCTCATCCCTGTCCTCTTTTCTTCTGTCATGCAGAGCCTGTGGTGTCTCCTCTGTGTGCGGAGTTTGGGAGATGAGGACTCTGTTTCCTCAGTGCTTGAGATGTGCTCAGTGCTCTACAGAGGTGCTAGGGCAGTGTCCCTGCTGCAGCTGCTGGTGCGTCCCAGCTAGGCAGGGCCCTTCTCTTCCAGTGTAGGTGCTGGAGTTCTTGGGCAGGCAGTGGTGAGCAAAACAGGCCTGTACTCTGCAGACAAAATGCTCTGAGACTCATGGCTGGGCTCCCTGCCCCCCCCCCCTTTCTGTGCTGTTGCACTTGTGTGTGTTCTTCTGCTGGCAACTGATGCTCACTTGGATTTCTGTATGAGAACTGGAAGTAGGGCAGAGACTTCACCTGTGTTTTGTTTAGCTTGCTTTTTCGCTATTTTCCTCACAAGGGGCCGCTTTCCGTCATGGGAGACATGATGGCTAGTTACTGCCATACCTTTAGTTGAAAAGTATGTTACTTGCCATACAGCCTTTGTGTGTATAGGATGGGACGCGAGAGGGGGTTGCACTATGTGGTCCCTTTTGAACCTTGGAAGCAGAAGCTGTAGTATTCCTATCTTTTGTAGGCTGTGGGAAGCTTGTCTGCATTGCCTGTACCATCTGTCTGCCTCCTGCCTTTTCCTTGAAGCCCTGCATACAAGTGAATTTTAGGTTCCTGGGACTTTCTACAGTGATGAGGAAGCCATGTGTTCCCTGATGTGCCATCTGTCCTGGTAGTATGCATTTTGAGAGAGGAGATGTCAGGCTTCTACCTTCCTATAGAGCATGAGATGTTGGAGACGCTTACACGCAATACGAAGTTTCTTTGCTGGCTGCTGCATATTTGTGCCGTTATCCTTGATAATTGAATCAGGCAGACACATTTGTCCTGGACCATCCTTGTTGGCTGGAAAGGTCCCCATCAGAGACATGCTGTGTCAAACTGCCTCTGTCATCGGGTGGTAAAGAAAGTAATTAAATGGTTATTCCAGGGGAAAAAAGGACTTAAAAGTGCGTGCTATGATTTAGGTGACAGCTCGCTCACTGCTGGGAGGACTCATGCTTGATGGCCACTGCACATTGTTAGTTCTATGTGTTTTCTTTGATTTAAAGCTTCATGCTAGTAATCTAATTAACATTGAATTGGATTTCCAGTACAATAGCTTGTTTGGTTCAATAAGAATATATTTGTACTAAAGGTTAATGAAAAGAATTCTGCTTTCATCAAATTCATCAAAGGTAGTTCTACAATCAAGGCTTACTAATGGAAAAAGAGATTAAATATTCATGTCTATAAATTTCTTATGTCATTTCTGGTTTTCCTTAATCTCTGTCTCCCCGGATTGGATTCCAAAAGTGTCTGAAAGCTCCAGTGAAGTACCAGTTTGGATATTAATTGGAGATTTATCCTGTTTAAGTAAAAAGACTTCCACAGACGTGTGCTTAATGTATCTTGTGCAGGTTTCTATTATAGGTGGAGTGAATAGTGATGAGGTCTTATCCGTGAAAGCAATACTAGGAGGCAATCTCAAGGAGCAGCATTATGTTTCTTAAAGCACTTTTTAAGACATGCAAATATTGTTTTATCTTCTGTTCTGACAGCTTTATTTGTGGTATTGAAATAGCTTTGAATGAACCAAAAGTGCAGCAAAGTTTGCATCAGAAAGGTATTAGCCGGACATGAAGATAAAACCTGAATAATGGGCATCAAAAGTGCTTATTCAAGATTCAAGACCTTTTTATAACATAGTGTCCAGGTATATGTGCTACAAGTATACCTGAGTGCTTTGAGTAAATACTGGATTGTGGTTTCTGTGCTCTCTTACCCAGTAGCTCTCAAGGAAGTTCTGGATACCCTTTGAGTCTTGGCTTTGCTGTTTCTTTATGTATGAGCAGAAAGAAGGTCTGTTTGGGAATGCTTTGCAGCTGCATATTTATGTCATTGCTGATGTAGAAGGGGAAATACACGGTGACAAGAGATACAAGTTACTTTGAAAGTATTGCACATTCCCATGAATGCTTTCCTTGGAAAGGAAGAAACAAAGAAAAATGTTCTTGTAAAATGCTCAAAACTGAGTGTCTTGCTTCAATCTAAGAAGTGCTTATATACACATGTGTGTATATAAGCATATATATATGTGTATTATATATACATGTATATATACTGCACCCAACAAGTAGGACAATGCTGGGCAGTGTCTGCATTTAGAGGATGCATGTGGAGAAAGAAGATTCGGCTCCTGTCTGGATCTTTGCATCGTGTTTCATTGCAACTTGTGCTGTCAGTACATTTTGGTCTCTTCTAGTACCAGATGTTTATATCGGACTCATTGGCGAGGACTGATGAGAAAGGAAGCAAGTTATTTGTATGCTGTGTGAGCCAAGAGAAGAGAAATGGAGGTCTCGAGAATGAGCATTTCATTCTAAGAAGATAAGAATAAGTAATTGACCAAGTCCAAGGGGAAAACTTTGACTTGATAGTAGTTACCATCTCTGGTCTCCAGACAGTTCAGAGGCCTTGCAAAGGTTGAGAAAGTCATCACATCGAGGGGATAAGCAACTGGGTGGCAGTCACAAACTGAACTGTGGTGTTGGGTTTTTCTTGTTATAGCCAGCATGACCAAAGAAACCAGGATGTGATTGTGTAGCCCAGCGTCCACCAGCATGAGGTCACGGGCAGATTCGTTATTTGTGAATTCTACCAATTAAGTAATTGGTATTTCTTCTTTTTCCCTTTGGCTTTTCAGGCATACTTCCGACAGGGTGTGGCCCTTCAGTATCTTGGACGTCATGCAGATGCACTGGCAGCATTTGCGTCAGGACTGGCTCAAGATCCCAAGAGTCTTCAGCTTCTGGTTGGCATGGTCGAGGCCGCCATGAAATCTCCCATGCGAGGTAAGCACCAGGAGATTTTTCTCAAGGATGGTGATTTGCTGCTGAGGTACTCGGAGACAGTAGTTTCTGAGTGATTCTGCCAGCATCTGAGGGGGAGAGAATCTGGAGGCCTGAAGGGAAAGATTGCAGGATTTTACATCTGTACTGAGTAGCAGGTGCCGAGAAGTGAGCCCAAAGTAGGAGGAGGAACAAAAAATTATTCCTCCAATTCAGTGGGACAGCAAGGTGGTGATACCAAGCTCGGGAGGCACTGGTGATGAATCAGACCGGGGTTGTCCAGCAGTGCCAATGAAGTCCTTGCTCATTTGTCTTTTGTCTTTTGTGTGTGCTGCTGTGCCCCTGGCTTTATTATTACTTGGAACAACTTCCCACAATGCTCTGGTACTTGGCCATTGGGAACAAGGAGTCTTAAATACTCTGGGCCAGCATTTGCTGAGAAGAGCACATCAGCAGCTTTTCCATGTTACTAATGTCTCTCAAAATGCAGCGTTCCAGAAGGCAGAAAGACTGCTCTGCTAATTCACTTATATTCAGGAAGACTGTTGGAATCACATGGACCTTGAAGCTGTTTTAGCTGTACAATGTTTTGCCTCTCTCTCACAGTGTCCCCATTTCCAGGATTTTTCTCTCTAGACGAAGAAGGTAGTCTCCTCTTTGCTCTGTTTCTCTGTAGTTTGGTTTCTCTTGCAAGCTTTGTGTTGCAATGTCCTAATGGTACTTCCCAGGAGGGAACATGGCAATGCTCATCCTCAGCAGATGCTGCTGGGCCCCCAGGGCTTAGGGGCCAAGAATCATTGCAGGGAAAAAACGTCCCCTTTGGTGTTTCCTTTTTTACAGTGTTTTTTCCCCATCCTCTAAAATGAATTCATCTGGAAGCTTCTGTCCTACATAGCAGTTACCTTGTGAAGCTAATTTCATTTGATACCCAAAGGTACTGCGGCTCCTGCTTAGAATGCAGGTGATGTGGTATTTCTGTGTAAGCATTCCCAAATTTGGCTGGATGATCTCGCTGTCGTATTGCGTTGCAGCTGTGTACTTTACACTGCTGCTCCTTGCTGTGCTTCTCAGCGTTGCTGCTTTCTAGTTGTTACCCTCCCACTGACTGGTTTGGCAGACTTCAGATTAGCCTTGCTTATAAAGTACTAGTTTTACTTTGCGAGTATGCATATACTGTACTGTTGTCATGAATATCCAGGATCTTGGTCCCACTGTCCTAGGCACTCTGCAAGCACTTAGGTAGTTGTTAATGTGTTGTTCTGGTCCCCTTTTTAAGAGCTTGCTGCCTAGGAGAGACATAGAAGATCTCTCTGGGTATTGTCTGTGGTGTAAAGCCTGTCCCTTGTAACTTGATTCCACGGGAAAATAGATTGTTTGAAGCTATGGATAGACTGATGTGAGTGATATCTTCCAGGATACTTGCAGACTCAGAGGAAGAAGAGGAGCAACCAGAAAGGCAAAAAGGCTCTAAGTGTCAGTGGTGTGCTAAAGATTATTAAATGCAGACACTGAGGGTTTCAGGTAGCATGGGTCTGCAGTACCTAGAGATGAAGGTGAAACTCCCCAATAACTGAATCACTGTTGCTGCATCTTTCACGTGGTTGTGGCTATATTTCTTCCCTTACCATTTGCTGTTGTACAAAAGCGGTAATGAACTCCATGTCTGCCCTTCTGTTACAATGCTGGTTCTCCCTTTCCTACTGGACTTTAGGGTTAACAGGAGCACTTCTCTTGGGTTTTCCTTTTGCTTCCTTTTTTCTTGTCTGTACCCCTCTCTCTCCCTATGTTTGCCTGGATTACCTGGCTAGGATCATGAGTAAGCTCCTTAAGACAGGAACTGAATTTCTACCTGCTCTTGCAGTGATAAGCATGGTAAGTGGTGGCATGTTACAGCAAGTATTTCTATCCTCTTTAAGTCTGCATTTAATCCTGGGGTCTAATTGGATGTCGGTAACTGGCATCACGTTCATACTGTTTGTTTTTTCAGGGAAGTGTTAAAATCCTCTTTCGCCGTTGTTTATACACTTGGTGATTGTAGAGAAGCAGAAATTATGAAAATGGGGAGCAAGTGGTTTTCTGAGATTGCTGTGATAGTGTCAGTTCAGTTGAGAGCATCTAATCAAGAAATGCCACTTGGTCAGCAAATTCTGGAGTCCTGTTATATTGATATCCTTATTGAAACATGCAGCCAAGATGTTTTATCATCTGAATGATGGAAGCAATTAGACCAATTATAAGTAGTCTGGCAGGTCCAGTGCTGTCATTCTGCAGGAGTATCCTCTCCTGCAGAAGAAAGAGCGGCTTTCTGCAGTTTTTGTCACCTCTCTCAGTGCACATTGTGTGCTGTGGTATCTGGACAGGCACAGATATTGCAGACATTCAGCTGGAAGTTTGTGCTGACAGAGCAGAAACTGTAGTGCCCTTATACACTGCTGGTGGATCATTTCCAGTTTCCTACAAAACTCTACAGGTGTTTTCTGTATTCCTTCTGCTATTTGGCCAGTTTTCAGAGCTCAGTGTAAGACTGCTCTGCATGCTTGTGCTGTCTTCCTGAAGTGCTTTCTGCAAGGAAAACGTCAGCTTGCTAGTTGATCTCTCTTGATGTACTAGATGTTAGATGATGTATTTGAGCCCTGAGTTCCTGTAATAAATCTTGGTTTAATTTGGGCAGTCTGGCCCTTAACTTGCATGTCATTTGGTTACCAGAAAATGAAGATGAGTTGTGAAGGTGATTTCTAGATGCAAGTAACTTGGTTTGTTGAGTAACTCTGCCTTCGGTTTTGTATTTCAGAGTCCCTGGAGCCCACCTATCAACAACTGCAGAAGATGAAGCTGGACAAGAGCCCCTTTGTTGTGGTGTCTGTGATTGGCCAGGAACTTCTGACTGCAGGCCACCATGGGGCCTCTGTGGTGGTGCTAGAGGCTGCCCTGAAGATTGGTACTTGCAGCCTAAAGCTGCGGGGATCAGTGTTCTCCGCACTGAGCAGTGCATACTGGTCCCTTGGAAATACGGAGAAAAGCACTGGATACATGCAGCAGGACTTGGACGTAGCCAAGACTTTAGGTAAAGAGTTCCCATTTCACTCACTTGAGTGCTGGATTGGTACAGATGGAACAAATTAATAGCTGTGTTAATGGTCAGCATCTCTTCACAATACTCAGGCTTCTGTGGGATTTCACAAGCTGCTAAATCAAACCTGAAATTTCTGAAATGTGCAGACTACAGGCTTGTGCACCCCTTTTATCTAAGTGTGTGAGGGGGCAGATGATCAATGAATGTGCCAAGGTTTTACAGGGTCCTCTAATTTTCTGGTGTTGTGTATGTGGGAACTGGTCTTACTCCCTGTGTAGACTTGGGCTCAAAACCTTAGATGGGCCTTAAATGAAGCAATCTGTTTTTTCAAGGATTAGATGGAAAAAGGTACTCAGTCAGAGCTTCTGAGGCAGTTGTCAGGGAAGAAACAAATCAGGAGTGAGACAACAGATGAACAAGAGAGTTTAAAAAAATAAACAAATTGGAAAATCCCTCTCGTATCCTGCATAACACTGAGACCTTTCAAAGTTTCATGGTGCTGTAGGAGGCGAGACAGTATGTCAGACAGAAAGGCATAACCTTGCAGAGGTAGAGAAGATAGTGACTGAGGGCTCTAGCTAGGAAACTTCACTGGAAGTAGAGGGACTACTGTCTTGAAGACAAATAGTCGATGTGCTTTGTGTCTGAGCTGAGCTGTGCTGCAGAATTGCTTTTAGGAGAAAACTGGCATGCTCTTTGCTTGTTTCAAGCCTGGGCCATAGATTTACTTTCACAAACAAATTGCTAATGTCAAGCAAAGAATAAACATGGAAGAAGGGGAAATTGCCAAGTGTTAGGCCAAAGAAGAAATTAAAACCATTCTAAAAATAGGATTGATGGCTATTGGAGAAGTTTCTGAAGGCTAGAAAACAGGAGAATGTTTTGGCTGTGTATTAAGTATAAGGATGAGTTTGTCCTGATGCTGGTCCTCACACTGGAGCATCACTTGTACAGTGTGTTCCAGTTTTTCTGCTGGATGCTTCCATCAACACCTTTGTTACCTAACCTTTGTTTTGTTTGCATGTCACTCAGGTGACCAGACGGGAGAATGCCGATCTCATGGAAATCTGGGCTCCGCATTCTTCTCCAAAGGAAATTACCGGGAGGCCCTTACTAACCACAGACATCAGCTGGTGCTCGCCATGAAACTCAAGGACAGAGAGGTAGGAAGCTTATTAAATAGACCAAATTGGGAGTCATCACTACGTGGTTTTCTAGAGAGATATGAACATGTCAAGAAGCCTTGTCTCTCTGCCCTGTTATTCTGAGAATTTGGAAGCTACATGATTTCTCTTCCCAGCCCTTCACTTGCCTTTTGTAACGGAAATTGTTTGTACCAGTAGATACAGTATGTGATTGTGAGTGCCAGATGCTTGGTTTGTCCTTTTGCCTCCCCCTGCCTCTAGCCTCCATGTGGCTCTGAGCAGGTCATTCTGCCTCTTTCTCTCCCTTCCCATCCATTTTGCCCACAGTGCATAGGCTTTGGGGTCTGAGGGTAGAAGTACCTGCTGAGTAGGTGTCAATACCACATATCTGCAGTTGAACCCTGCTTGTCATCAGCTCTTGTTTTCCCTGTGATACAGGTGCTACTGATTCGAACAATAATATTAGGGTGCATCCTATATGCACGCTAGCTCTAGCTCCCTGTCCCGGATGTTCACATGAAATACACTTTGTTTAAAAAGTAGTGAAGAAAAAGAATCCATGCAAACCTGAAAATACAGTGTTGTGTAAAGTGTAAGGGTTGCTTGGACTGGATCTGATCTGCCTTGACCATTTACCATTCAGCTCTTGAGGTGTTCCACTGGGCTCCCTGCCAGGCCAGGGAAGTGTGCTACATGGACTGAAGAGTCTGTCCCAAGAAATTTCTAACAGAAGTTCACTGTAAGGACAGAATCATAATTTTAGTGCAAGTTACAGATACAAAAGCTGTTTCTCCCCTCCCCGTGGATTCCCCTCTGCTGTGAATGGGAAAATGGAGGGCTTGTGGGTTGCATGGCAGGTGAAGGGAGTGGCTAGAGGCAGCAGGGCAGGTATGAATTTATGTAAACGCAAGTATTTTTGGGGAGATACAAAATCTGAGGAAGATCAGTTTCCCACTGATAAGTCCTTGAAAAGATCCATTTGAATTAGCTAAATGCTTTACTAAAGTGTTATTTTTAAATTAAATACCAAGTAAGCTTTGGAGAGATGCATCTTTTAGTAGGTTGTGGAAGGATGGTGACTGGGGGAGGGATGTGCTAGGCATATGATGACTTTACCAGCTGGAAAACCTCCTGATTCACTCCCGATTTCCTTGTTTTTGTTCATGCAGAGCAGAAAAGCTGTTAGTCATCATTGTTTTTATAGTTTACTTGATTAGGGGTCCCTGTTCCTGCTAAGAGTCTAATCTGCATGGCTGCTCCTCCTCTGTGGTGTTTCTCTAAGCAGCGGATACCCCCATTGTGGGAAGGGGGCTGAAGGAAATAGCAGGAAACTCTCTCTGTGCCGGCATGTGGCACGAGCGCAGCAGCCTGTGTGCCCCAGACCCCCGGGCTGGCCCGGGAAAGCAAGTGCTGGTGCATTTCACTGACTTCAGGCCGCTGATCTAAACAGATCCCAATGGTCGATCTGGGAGGAATCCAGGGAATGAAGGCTAATCGTGATAGTTCTTAGTTTATGACACATCTGGGCACATAATTAACAGTTATTGACAACAAATGACTACTTGGTTTAGCAAGAAAGCTGAGCTTCTTGGATTTCCTGGAGGATGTAACCACAGGAAATTAATTTGGCGCTTTCTGATGACATCATCTTGACCACAGAGCTTCCTCTGAACAAAGAGCTGTTTTTCTTGGCCTCTTTTGCAGACATTTTTATAATGCAAATGTTATAAAGTTGCAGTAGTGCTGATGCGAATTCCACCAGAAGGGAATTTGGTGTGCGACTGTAATGAGGTAATTGTTTTACCTCCAACTGTACAGAGAATTGGCTTAGAAGGTAAAAAGTGCTCCTTTGTATGGAAGACTGCTACCCTCAGAGGAAGCACTGGCTTTGAGGCTGCTGAGGCAGATGTTTGTACCAGGAGCTTCTGCTGGATTGTGTCGCCCATAAACCTAGGAGGAAGTTGCAGAGGGTCTGGCTGTAACATTCGGATTTGTCCCCTGCCATGCAAGCCTGGAGAAGGGAAACTTTGTCAGTTGAATGTAAGCTGCTCAGATGGACTGAAGATTTTGAAAGCTTTTTTTGTCCCAGGCACAGAGTCTGTGCAGCTTCTGTTACAAGCACTGTATCATACCGAGCACAGTCCGTAAGTCCAGATAGGCCATCCGCTCTTTGCAGTCACAATGTGGGGAAACGGTCAGGCTGTTTTCTGATACTTGTGCCCAGAGAAAGAATACCCTGGGGTATTCAACATACATGTGTTTTTGGTCTATGCAGATGAGTAAGAACGACTGGGTCTTAGCAAGATGCTTTAATGGCACCATGAAGTAGCCACCTCCAGTGTCATTTCAATGCTTTCCATCACAGTTAACTGATGAGTTGGATTTTTTTTTTTTTGACTGGCTGCAGTGGCTGACCAAGAAATTCAGATGAGCTAATTCTGTGAGATTGTTTCTGAAAGAATTAGCAGACCTAAAAGTATAAGTTGATTCAGAAAACTAGAAATCATGAGGGACTTGGACTTTCCGTGCATCTTTTGGTTCCTGTGGAGCTTTGCAGATTGTCACTGTGGTCAGTAGAATATGATCCTAAAAAAGCATGACAACAGAAAGGACGTGCAGTAGAAGAGGGGAAGGTAGGCAGGACCATCTACAAGGATAGTTACCTCTTTTCTGATGGAGGTGAGTGCAGTTCAGCTCTGAGATTGTTTAGAGGCAGTTAAAGAGGAGACAGCAGTGCAGCTTGGTATTCTGTTGTTTCTCTGTGAAGATGAAGCAGAGCAGATTTCAGCGTGGGCTGTATTGGCCTGCTGCAGACCCTGGGAATGTACTCAAGTTGAGAATCCTGATTAAGTCTATGCTGCTGCTCTTCTTACAATGATGTCTCCTGTACTGTCTGAAGTGAAGCAGGTGTGGATATACCTATCCATGCTTCAGCCATGCCACTGGTGGCAGTGTGGGCATCGCTGAACTGTGTCTTTATGGCCCCTAGGTAGATAGCACAAAGTTTGACCACACTCTCCTGAGTGGGATGCTGTGCAAGCTCATTTGAACACAGAGCGACCACAAAGACTGGTGGCTGGTGGGACCGTAGCGCTCTGCACATGTGCACATTAGGGAGCTCGTCTTTGGGCAGCTCCATTAGCCCTAGCTCTGACTAAGACCCACTTAATTCATGCATAGAGGTGGAAATAAAACTCCCTTAGGCTGGTGGGGCCCCTAGGTACAGGCTTGTCTTTTCCTTTCTTGTTCAGAGCCAGCTGCAGGCTGTTAACCGCACACGTCGTGAAATAATGGCATGCTGTCTGGTGTGGGGGTTAGTGCTTCTGAACAGGGATCAGAGGATCTGCTTTCTAAGCTAACCTGGCTACAGTGGAGTAAAATGTTGACTTGCTGCTTGATGATGCATGGATAAAGAGGTATAGCCCTGTCCTACGCCAGCAGTAGCCTCATGTTCTTGTGATGTATTCTGTACTTTCTGCTACTAAAATCTCAGTGCACGTTGTCTGTTTGTTAATGTGCTGAGGAAAATATGTACTGGTAGCTTGGGCTGCTGCTCTTTTTCCAGTTTTTACATAGTTCCCGTGAAAGGTCTGGGAGTTTTAAGAGAGGTTCCCTGAACAAGCAGCCAAGGTACTTGTGAAGTGCAGAAGAGTGACAGATTGTGTTAAGAGGGAAGACTGGGATTACATTATTTTAGCTCATTGTCTTTTGCCCATCATAGAAGCTGGCTCTGATGAGCATCAGAAGCTTGCAGTCTGTGAGTTTTTCCTCAGAGAGGACTAAGGCCTGCAGTTATGGTAGTACAGGATTTCTGATAGAGTTATTTTTCTGCCAGCCAACGGAGTTACAATAGAGAGGTCATCTCTGCCAAGTCAAGAAACACTCGGGATTAGATATACAGGACAGGGCTCGCCTGTGACAGTGTGGCTAAGTACTGGTGACTGAAGGTATCCCCACTCAAAATGGGGAATAAATCAAACTGATGCTCTGTAGAGAGAGATGGTGGGGCAGAAGATCAGATTCAGTAATTATTAAAAATCTGGATAGAAGATCAACTCTAATGAATTCCTGTGTCTTCGTATAAAAGACTTTGTATGTATGAGTAGGATGGAGCAGGGTTGCAAGGCAAGGTTTCACTTAAAGGATCAAGTTAACCTTTACTATAACTCGCTGAGTTGAACTTGACACTGAACTTGATATCTGTGTCCTGTAATCACCTCCCAGGAAAAATAAGTGGTGAATTTAATCTCCTAGACTACCTGTTACTGATCAGTGCAAGATACTATTACATCTTAGGAGTAGTACTACAAGATCATTCATCTTTCAAGAACCTAAGGATGCCAGAGAAGCCATGCCCTTCAAGTCATAAGTTGCAAAAGTTACAAGTTCCTTTTACAGATTCCTTGGCCTGGTTCCTTAATGGTAGGCTTCAAAGTGTGACGGCTAAATACTCGCTCTGACCCTGTCTTTGCTGTAAGAAACCGACCAGGTGATATTGAGGATAGAGTCAGGTGTTGGCTCTCATGCAGAGTTTTGGCTCATACAGGTATGTCTGCACCACTGCACAAGGCAGAAGAAAGACCAGGGGTTCACTTCACTACCTCAAGGCAAAAGCAGTTTCTCACTTGCCTCTGTTGGGGTAGTGCATGTTAGTTGTCTTGCAGTACAAATCCATTAATTTTTAATAACTGAGGTGCAGACTGTTGTGTCTGTACTATGTTTTTGAAGTAATGACTTTTGTTTTTAACACCAGGTAACCTGATCTTCTGAAAGCCATCAGGTAACCCTTGTAGCCTGTCTTGATGCCACATCACGAGCTGTGATTTAGACAAGGGTAACACAACCGATGAGCTATGCTGGGGTCAGAGGAAAGACTGGAGTCAAAAAGTAAATGTGAAAGCTTTCAATGCCTGTCATGCTAGTCTCCTGTGTCCCTATTCCCCTTCATCTCCAGCTGCTCCACAGGTGAGCAGAACTGCCTTGTGTTATGAATTCTGTAAGGCCAGAGTGCCAAGGTA